CTTAACTATAAGTCAAAGTTAAAAAAAAATAATCTTGAATATTAAAATTTAAAAGATTATATGTCCAAGTTTCAAATATTAAAAAATAAAACCATACAACGAAATAAAAGCTTATCTCATAATCTACATCCTTCCTCCTACATGCATAAACTTTTAAAAAAGATATAACAAATTTAGAATCAAAACAATAAATCTAACCATCTACAAATTCATACTATCATTTCCATTTTCAAAGAATAAAACCTATTTCATTTTTTTTCAGGTAGATAGTTTTAAAATGTTTTCTTGAGAAAAGAAAAAACTGAAAAAAACTAAACTCCTCCGTAATTTAAATTGATGAAATTGTTTTTAATGATAAGATTGTACAATCCTGAATCTCGAATGATTTTAATAACATTGATTCTTACTTATCATATAAAGACAATAATAATATACTATTATATTAGATTTCTAATTATTATAAAAATTAATATTTAATAGTTAACGATATTTATTTATTTTTATTTGATAACTAAGTATAAAACCATGTATTACATGGGTTCATGTAAAAGAAAAATTAAATATGAAATTTTAAACATTTGAAAAGTTTGAATTTATAAGGAAAATGGAAAAATATTGAATTATTAAAATTAAAGTGTTTTTTTTTCTTTTTTAAATTTAAACAAATAATTTAGATAAATAAATAAAGAAAACTAACAATGTTTTAATTTAAAAATTTTGTAATTAGAAGGAAAGTCAGTTAATGAAATTAAAATTCATTTATTATGATATTTATTGTAATTAGTATATTTAAATATTATATGAAATTTAATAAAAATGGAAAAAACCACAAAATACTATGTAAATTTTTTAATTGAAAATAACAATAAAATGACATACAACTAAATCAATAATAGTCTCAGATGGGTCAATAATTACCATTTTCATTTATTATAATAAAAAGATATATTTTTGTTAATAATTTTAGGAGATAACATATAATTACCATTTTCATTTATTAGAATAAAAAGATATATTTTTGTTAATAATTTTAGGAGATAACATAAAAGAGGTTCCCAATCCAAAATCTACTTTGATATGGAGCCCTGAAACCCTAGCAACGTTATTATTCCTTTAGCCATCTCACTGGTCGATCAGAGAATCTCTACAGGCTACAGCGTCTCAGCGATTAGGCGATTCCTCGTTCAAAGGTTAGTTCCTGCGTCAATAATTTTTTATTTCCGTGAAGCAGATTCGCGATTCCTTAAGTTTCAATGAAAATTGCAATTTAGGTATTTTTCTGTGTTAGTTCTTGTTTCAAAAGTTTTGATTTCTGTAAATACAGATTCTCGATTCGTTAAGTTTCAATCAAAATTGCATTTTAGTTGCTGTTCTGTGTTAGTTTTTGCTTCAGAACATTTTAATTCCTGTAAAAGTAGGTCATGATTCGTTAAGTTTCAATCAAAATTGCATTTTAGGTGTTTTTCTGTGCGTGACCGCTTTGGAGAGCATCTGATAGTAGCTACTTGATGCAAGTTGGGTATTCCCTTAAGAGTTCTACGATTTGTGAGGTCGAATTACTGATCCAAGTGATGCTTTTAGCTATGGAGAGCATCTGTTAACGACTTACTGATTTCAATAATACTTTTAGGCTTTAGCTATACGATTTTATTTCATTATACTCATTGAATGCGCATGTGCTTAAGAGTTAGGAATTTAGGATGTAGTGAACTACTGATTCTATCTATGCTAATTACTTGATTTACTTCAAGATTATATCTAATTTTATCCACACACACACACACACACACACACACACACATATATATATATATATATATATATATATATATATCTTGCTTCGAAGTAAAACGGCGACTATTTGATTTTCATGTATTGATTCCTGATTTTTATGATGTTTAAATTGACTCAAGATGATATTTTACTTTATCTATTGAATGCTTATGTGGAATAGAGATATCATATTCTTATTTTGTTATTCGTTGTAGCAATTTTAATAGAACCACAACAAACATATATGTTTCTCTTAAAGAAGTTACTGAAGTAGTAATTCTTAATGCTTTAAGATATTTCAAGACATCATTTGGTTTTATCCTTTCAATGCATCTGTTGCCCAGAAAATATAACAGGATGATTTTTTCCTGCTTTTAGTTTTAGCCATATTTTGTATTTGTAATCATCATGAATTGACATGGGTATGATCCTCACTGATTTATGTAGTGAATGTATGCCTCCTTATTTAATTTGTAAACATTAGCACTTTGCCAATTTACATTCTTGATATTAGCAAGACATCTATAATTGGGAAAAATCTACCCAATTATAGCAACGTCATTCAATACAAATCAATTTTCATTGCTATAATAGGTTAAATTTTGTAAAGTATATTTGACTATTCTCTGCATATTTTTCCTTAATCAACATTATAAACTCAACTAATCTCTACTTTATTTTCTTAATAGAAGATGATCCCGAAACCAGCAACATCAATCCTATATTCCCTACTTAAAGATGGTGAAAAACGACCCCTTGAAGACATCATAAACGATTTCTCCTCAAAAATTCCAAAATCAATGCATAGTGAAATCTTCTCAGCTCTTGTCATTCTTTTGGATGACACCCCAAAATTCCTAAAATCCACCGAACGATTGGTTGCATTTGCATTACTTCATCACACATATTCCCCCCTAAAATCATCCACCAATCCCTACCTTTCTTTGCTCACAAACACTGCAAATGACGAAAAAACTGAAACTTTAGAACGTGCATTCATCCTTCATCTCTTATCCTCTCCGGCCACATCTCCGGTGATGAAACTATCTCCGGCAGATTTCATTACCAAATTCGATCCTTCATCTCACCGGTTCCCGGAGCCACCACTGCCGCCGCCGGAAAACCCCCTCCCCAAACCGTTCAATTCCCTCTTCAAAAACACCGCGATAAAAAACGCGATACCGGATCCCGACATCCCCCGCGGTTGTGACATCAACTCGCCGGAGTTTGAGTTCCTGCCGCCAAAGATCGGCTCCGGTGACCGGAGCGAGGCCATAACCGTTCTACTTCAAACTTTATCATTGGACGTGCTCTACCCTCACTGGACCCGCCCTACACCGCCTCGCCTCCCGGTGCTAGACGGTGAGCTCGTCTGGGTTAACCCTGACTCGACCCACGAACCGCTTTGGGACACCGGGATGTGTGCCGACACGAGCCGTGGTGCAGCCGTCCGTGAACTAATCCTAAAAGCCTTAAAAGGCCCGTTGGCTCCATCTCAACAAGAACAAGTTTTACTTGAGTTAACTTCCGACCCAAAACTGGTGTACCACTGCGGTTTAACACCACGGAAGCTGCCGGAGCTGGTGGAGAACAACCCTCTAATAGCGGTGGAGGTGCTGATTAAGCTGATGAACTCGCCGGAAATTTCGGAGTATTTTACGTTTCTGGTGAATATGGACATGAGTTTGCATTCGATGGAGGTGGTCAACCGGTTGACCACTGCGGTTGAACTGCCGACTGAGTTTGTACACATGTACATAACGAATTGTATATCATCATGTGAGAATATTAAGGATAAGTACATGCAGAATCGGTTGGTGAGGCTCGTGTGTGTTTTTCTGCAGAGTTTGATCAGGAACAAGATTATTAATGTTCAAGATTTGTTTATTGAGGTTCAGGCATTTTGTATCGAGTTTTCTAGGATCCGGGAAGCTGCAGGTTTGTTTCGCCTTCTTAAAACATTGGAATAGTTCATGTTTTTTTTGTTGGATATTTTAGTTTTGCATAAAGATTTGTATTTGGTTGTGGTTTAGGGATAATGGATGTTTTGGGAATAGGATTTAGAATCTTCAACTTAGTTTTAATCTATGGAAGCGTGATATAATCAATCATATTAGCAAAATACTTGGACATCGGTACTATTGATGATGAGGGTATTTTTGTCTTTTGGACAATCGATAACAAGTCTCTTTTCAACCTTTCTCTGCCTTTTTGGGTGGGAGAAAGAATTGCAACTTTGTCCAATTCAATGGATGCTAAATGTAATGGCAACCTTATCAGGTATTGTGCTACTTATAAATGGGTTGAAAATTATTCAAAGTGTATTCAAATACATAAAACTTAAAAATTGCTTTATTAAATAAAAGTTAGATTGTCTTTCTAATAATATCATTTAACACGTCAATCATGCTTAGTAGTCAAGGGAGGTGCAGGGCAATAGAAAAGGTAAAGTCTCCAACATAAATTACAAGATATCGACATATCGTGATCACTAATTGGCAATATGCCAAAATCAGTTGGAGATCCCAGTGACAGAAGAACTTGGGGGTAGATTTGTCAAAATTTGTACTAGGAACCTACAAAACAAATTGCAAAATAAGAAGTACTTCTATTTCTTTAATTTTTTTTTCCTATTACAACATTGTGCAGTGAAAATTCTACCAATTATAGCAATGTCATTCAAATTCAAAGTGTAATTGGGTAGATTTTTAAAATTACAATGCATTGAATAGAATTTTTTTTTGGAAGTGCAAAGCTGTAAGTAATAGAAAAAAAATGAAATTACATTGCTGTAATGGGATAAAAATACCTTGAAACCAATAGTTTCATATGGTTCAACAGCAAAAAGAAGACGATGGTTTCTTTTGACAAAAGATTGGACCTGCCCATGAAGCATAAAGGGAAATCAATTATTTAACTGGCTAAATGCAAAAAATAGCAATATACTTTTGTATTTCTGTATTATGGCACTGTATTTTTTTTTCTTTTTACGGCATTGTAGTTTGAAGAATATACCAATTATAGCATTGTACTTTAAATTATCTTGTCAATTGGTAAATCCATCAGAGTGAGACCCATCACGATGAAGTGTAATATTGTTAAGCCCACATATTGGTCCATATCGCTGGATTTTTGCTTTGCAAAGGTTGAATAAGCTTCGTGAAAAACTTCACAGAAGTTTGTTAAAACTTTTCTTGTTTTTGATGTAGCGTAAATATCCATTTAAGTTTTTAAAATAGGGTGAAGTGTTTCTTGACCGTCAAGATAAGATCCAACATCGGGGGAATCTACTTATTCAAACAAAAAAAGAAAAAACTAAAAAGTAAATCAAACTTTGGATCATTTCTGTCGACATGTGGGATAGTGGTGTCTAGAAAACAGGGATACTTTGTGGGTATCTTAAGAAATTTTCTGGATCAACTTTAGCCTTGATTCGAATCAACTTCTTAAAATTACGCCTCTTCCAATATCTCTCGCCCCAAACACTTGCTTCTTCATAAGTAGCATTTCCAACACCCAAATCTAGATCAGCATAGTTGGAATACGCCTCCCTTGGGTTCTTTGACACATAAGGCGTCAGTAACTTTTCCAAGCTATCCAACCATGCTATCCTCTTTAGCGCTATAGTTGTTGTGTCTGAAGGTTGATTGTAAAAATTGACATTCTTGAATAACTGGTACAACACCCCAGCTCTATGAGGATATGGAATTGCAGTCTCAGAATACTCAGCCATCCTTCCGCCAAACGGATTGCTCCCAAGAAGTTCCGATCCATCACTTTCCATAATTTTTCTCCAAATCTTTCTGAGCCCACTTTTAGGGATCGGTGTCCGGACGAAGTCGATTTTACTTTTGCTGTTCACCTTGGGTATGCCAGATCGGTTTGTGACAATTTCGATTGGGGTGGAGCTTGGCAAGCCATAAAACGCAATGGTTGATTGAAGAATTGACATCTCTTCACAAATCTCCCGTGTAACACCCAACTCTGGAAATTTTTGGTCTAGCAACCGAAGCAATGTGTCACTTCTGCCCTGAAAAACTCCTTGGAATGTAATTACTACAGTTTTTTTAGTGGTGTTGCCGATATATTGACCGGACATCACGGTTCGTATATGCAAATTTTTATCAATAGTCGGTGCAACGTATTGATATTTATGAAAAAGTTGGGTTGCTCCTTCCTCCAAAGTTTTACTCAGCATAAAAACAGTTACTTTTTTCGGAACCCGAACCAACTTCAGCTTCCATGCAAGAACGATTCCGAAACTAGAAGCACCACCTCCTCTAATCGCCCAAAACAAATCTTCTCCCATCGACTTCCTGTTGAAAATATTTCCATTGACATCCATGAACCGAGCATCCAGAACATTATCAGAAGCAGTACCGTATTTCCTCATCAGGTTTCCATAGCCACCACCGCCCATGTGTCCGCCAACACCCACCGAAGCACAAAGACCCGCCGGAAAAAACAAGGTTTTGGACTTCTGAATAATACTGTAATAGAGTTCACCTAACGTAGCGCCTCCCTGGGCCCACACCGTTTTCTTTGCTAAGTCCACGTCTACGGACCTCATGTTGGTGAGATCAATCATAACAAATGGGACATTAGCAGTGTAGGAGCGGCCCTCTGCGTCATGTCCCCCGCTTCTTATTCTGATCTCGTAGCCATGTTTCTTGGCGCAGTATAGAGCCGTTTGGATCAGTGTTTCATCCACAGGTGTCACTATCACTGATGGTTTAGGAGTGGAAAGTTTAAGAAACTTAGTGTTTTCAACCGCGACTTGCCAAATGGGTAGGAAAGAAGCATTCACAGAGGTGAAAATGAGTTTAGAGATGGAGGTGACATTGTTGGAGTTGGATTGTATGCAATGTATGAAATCTTCAGAACGTGGTGTTACACCATGGGCGGAAGATATAGCTGCCCATGGAAAAGAAAATGAAAGAGTTAGAACCAAGATGAAGATGGAAGAGCTTAGAAGAGACTTCTTCATGTCTTGGTGAGTAATTTGATGTATAGCAATGTCTAATTTATATAGCGTAGAGAGAATAGGGATGGCTACAAATGGGGTTAGAAAAAGGGTGGACGCATATCAGCATATGGAAAACCCGCTGGATGGAAGGAGGTGAGTTTGATCTATCGCAAATCCTTTTGGACGAAATAGTTTTTAATTAACTTAAAGCATGCATAAAAAATCTCAAATATAAGTAGATACATACAGTATAACACAAAATCTAATGATTAACTAAATAAGCCAATATAGACTGTAACTAAAATGAATTTAATTCTTAATACAGAAACTGCGAATCTAAATTAGTCAAACGTTAAGAAGTCGATTACAATCCATTGTCATTATTGCTCGAGATGCTTGAATCTTAAGTATGCTGCTCAACGAATTTTAATGTTAAAAACTTGACTTTATATTATTATTATATGATCACAATTCACACAGAGTTTAAGCATTATATACCACAGGTTGATACTGGATCATGTTGAGATGACCTGCGTGCCTTTAACAACTTCTCACAATGCGAGCTGCAGTCCACGCAAAATCACCCTCTTGTCACTTCCAATCCATTTCTCAATCCTCAGCCTTAATCAACAATCATTTGTCGTCCGATTAAGCCCCTATAGTTACCTGCACTAAACAAATCAAGTTAGAATTATAAAATGATTATTGTACCTTGGTTTAGTTTGTGGATAAATGAAATATTAGATATTTCAACATCCCCCACAAGCTAAACACAAAAGCATTATTCCTTTTGAAATGGATCGATTAATCCCATTTTTTTATAAGAAAATCATGTTGCAGTGTACCCAAAAGACTTGGTTAAAATATCAACATGTTGCTCTTCAAATTCGATCTTTAATAATTTTTAATACTTCTTTTGAAACTTTTTCTCTTATAAAATGTCCATTTCAAAATGTTTAATTTTAATTTTAATTTTTATTATTTTTATTTATATTAAACACTGGGTCAATGCCAACTTTATTGCAGATTCACTGTCACGAAAAACACCGACCTATGTAAGAGCGAGAAACAATATACCGTTTTTTATTTTTCCATGAAATCATTGAACCTCCTATATATACACAAAAACCGGTAACTAAACATTTAGCCCTGCATCAACATATATCCTTTTAAAGCCATAAAGTCACTTTTAAGAATACTAATTCCTTTTACATGATTACATTTCAGAAACCTTAAAAACTTACAATGCAATATTAAGATGTGACTTACGTGGACTATGCAAACTGACTTAACACTTGTACAAACATAAGAGCTACCAGGTGTATTAATTGTTAGGTAAATTAATTTTCCAACCAGTTTCTGAAATTTTGTTATGTTTTGTAATAAATCATCTTTGTTATCAATTCTTTCAAGTTTGTCAACAACATTCGACTCAAGTGGGGTTTTAACAGGTTTACACTCGCGCATGCCAAACTCGGAATACTTCCTTTAAGTTAGGCAAACCCTCCATAAACTTCAATTACTTCATTTCCTAATAGAAAATTTAACTTGCCTAGATCTTTAATAAAAAATTACGATTCCAAAAAATCTTTAACTTTTGCTATTCCATCAATGCTATTACCACTAAGTATTATATTAGCATAAACCAGTAACATAACAACGGTAGAATATTTAGATCTCATACATAAAAAGTAATCAATCATACCTTGTACAAAACCAAAATCAAATAAAGAGGAGCACAACTTCTCATCCCATTTCCTTGGGGATTGTTTAAGGCTATATAAGGATTTTAAAAGCCTGCACAACCTGATAACCTTGTGGTAAAGACATTTACGCACTTTCATTCAAGGTTCCATACAAAAAAGAATTATTATTTACATCAAGCTGAATCAAAGACCAATTATTATTAATAATAAGAGCAATAACAGTCCTAACAGACAGTAACCATTTTAGCAATAGGTGAGAAAGTTTCCTCATAATATATTCTTCACGTTGATTATATCCCTTAGCTACGGGCCTAACCTTATAATTTTCTACCTCCCTGTTTGACTTATATATTATTTTGTATACCCACTGACAACCAATTGGTTTTCGACCGGAGGGTAAGTCAGTAATTTTCCAGCTTTGTTTTTAATTTTAATTTTAATTTTATTATTTATTATGTTTTAAATTTTTTTTCGATCAGGGTGAAGAGCTTCCATCTCTTCGTTCATTTCTTTTACCCAATTAGGGTCTAACGATGCCTTAAAATCGGCTCGAGGCTTAATACTTTAAGGGAAATCCTGATCGAAACAGAACTGCTCTAGATACATTCAACAAATGACGATGTTTTAAAACCCATCTCGAGCCATTCAATTGCTTCTTCAAAAACATCGTTACAAAAAATGCGATACTGGATCTCGACATCCCCCATAGTTGTAACATCAAGTCGCCGAGTTCACGCCATTGAAGATCGTCTCCGATGACCAGAGCGAGACCATTACCGATCTAATACAAACTTTATCATTATATGGAATTACCCTTTACGGACTTGCCCTAAACTGCCTCGCTTCCCGGTACTAGATGGTGAACTCGTTTAGGTTAACCCTAACTTATACCACGAATTGCTTTAGGCACCAGGATGTGTGCGACACGAGTCATGGTGCAACCGTTCGTGATCTAAACCTTAAATACCTAAAAGGCTTGTTAGTTCCATACTAACAAGAACAAGTTTTACTTGAGTTAACACTATGATCCAAAACTAGTGTACCACTGCAATTTAACACCACTAATACTACCAGAGCTAGGTGGTAGAGAACAACCCTCTGGTAGTGGTGGAAGTCCTGATTAAGCTGATGAACACGCCGGTAATTTTAGAGAATTTTATGGTTTTGGTGTGAATATGGACATGAGTCTGCATTCTATGGAGGTGGTCAACTGGTTGACCAACACTGTTGAATAACCGAATGAGTTTTTCCACATGCATATATCAAATTGTATATCGTCATATGAGAATATTAAGGAAAATCACTTGTAGAACTGGTTGGTGCAACTCGTGTGTAACATCCTAAACTTCAAACCACAATTGTTATTTTTAAAATAAAGATAGTAATGCAAATCTTGTTCTCAAAAGAGTAATAACAATATTTTTTTTTAAGTTTGACAAACCATAATCAAATTAGAGTAAAAATGGGATAGTGAAATTAGATAAGCAGAAGTCTCTAAAACATGGGCATGGATGCGATGCAATCAGACCGTGTCCTTCCCTTTGCTGCCAAACCAACCTGACACATTTAGACCTAAACGAGTAAACACAAAGCTTAGTGAATTCCCTAAAATACCACATATCCAATGTGAATGCTATGGTCCATCCATAGCCTTACACCCACTTCCGTTGCTACAGTCCCCGTGACATTTACTATTTCTCAGAACCAAAAAAACTTTTCTTTACGCTTTAAAATCATAATATCATTGTTCGCAGAAAAACCCAGTACAATAAAACATTTTGCGAAAACTGTTTCGTTTTATTAAAATATCTTTGATTAAAGATGTTGTTTCAAAATACAAAAACTATGAGGATAATATATAACATTGTTACAATGTAAAGACCTAATGGTCCTGAACAATATTGCAGGTTGTCTCTCAATCACTCGACATCCTAATCAAGTTCCATACATAACATTGTTACAACGTAAAGACCTAATGGTCCTGAACACTATTGCAAGTTGTTTCTTAATCACTCGACATCCCAATCAAGTTCCAGCAGCTTTAACTATGTTACTTGTGATGCATATAATATGAGTGAGTCGGTTTGGGAAACGTGGTGAGACACATAGGATTTTCAATCCCACAATATTATTATCATAATAATTTATAATTATCAAACCTGCAAAAGCATCTGTTACTAAACAATATAGATATATCCCTTAACTTAGATATCTATAAAACATTACACCTATACATACCCATCCTAACCGATTCTCATAAATCCTAGTCCACGATTATCATGAAGAATCAACTCGCCCAGTGAATCGTTTAGAACAATGGTTTGACTACACAACTAGGGGATTCCATGGATGATGTAAGTCATAAAGGCCATTTAATCCATAAGAGTATTTGATGAATATGGTATCCCATTTCATCTACGTTTGTGGGTTTTTAGCCTAAACTAGCAATGTAATTCATAAGACCATCTAAAATGATCAAGTGTTGTCATCTTACTATGGGAGATGACCAGACATACCGTTACAATTTCCTGATCTGGACCCACCATTTTTGGTCATCCAAAGGAATACTTTATTGTACTCATGTACGTAATCCGTACATCGACACCTGATAGTGTCATAGAGCAGAGTTCTACTCTTCGTTCCTATCACACATACCCTTAATATGATGCTACCCAATATCCAAACTTAATCAAACTAAGCATCCCCTTTAAGTTCTAGTGTATAACTAGACAAGATTACAAATCTTGTAATCAACACAATTTATTGCCTATGTAATATTTTTACAATACAAGGTGTAACTAACAACCCCTTTGATTTAACTCGAACTAAGCACCCTTTATAAGTCTTATTTCGTTACTAGGTAAGACTATAATGCTTATAATCAATTTCCAAAACATTTTCCTATTTATACTATACTATCACAATACAATATGTGATTATTCTTTTATCCAACTTAATTGGATCTAAATATTATTTATATGTATTAGTTTTAAACTTAGACCATATTACAATCCTTGAAATCAACTTTTAATATTAACTCTGTTTAGACAACACTATCCTAAGTTAGTGTATATTTTTAACACATTATATCAAGTATTTTAATATATCATAATCTTTTAAGTAATAATACATATTTTTAAGATTATCATATAATAATATCATATAAACATTTAACACATAATTAACCATATCTGGTTCACACAATATATGTTGTCATATATATATTTAACAAATGTTCCAGATAATATGCAATTAATTCACAAATAAACTTTCAACAGATAATTAATACTTTTAAATAAATACTTAAAACTAACTATGCACTCACCTTATATAGGTGGAAGACTCGTAGGAAGGCCCGCTCTTTGAATGACACTTTAGATTTCCCTTTAAAATGATCTAAACACGAATATTATTAAGTCTTAGTATTCGTTCGTATATATAAAGTTTAGTCATTATAATGTTTTTCTTAGACTTATCAATAATCCTAAAAGAAATAACGACTTATAGATGATAAGAACCAACAAGGTAAGATCGTATCGGAGTTATGATCTGTTTGACATATAACTATATACTGTTTGGAAAAATCTACTTTAAACACCTCATAGATATAGCTTAGACATCATTCCTGTAAGTAGATCGATCGGTATAACGATTGGTATTACTGATAAATCTTATTTATAAGTTCGTAATAACGACTATGAACATAAATATAAGTTGTACTTAAAGTGTAGTAAGTGCAACTTAACTTACCGAGTTTTCAAACAGAAGTTCAGAAAGTTCGCGGGCCGAACTTCAACTCTGAAAACTTCTTTTCGTCGGCTCTCTTCGATTCTCTAACGACTCAGAGCTTCGCTGACATACTCTAAAAACTAGGAAGAATCGGATAAGAAAGAAAGAAGAATTCTAAAGAGAGTTTAGAGGAATTGAGCAAGGAAAGATGTAGAATTCGTCGTTTATTTATAAGGGTCTGATCACGGGGTAGGCCCCACGTTTCCTCCTTATCTTTCCTGTACGAGATCCGTTTTCAACGTTCTTTATATCTACGCATAGGTATTTTCGAGTACTACAATTTTCATTTGGACTCCATCAACTAATTCTCATTCTATCTCGAATTTACAAATCTGTATCGAATTCGCCTCGCTCGAAGAGTAGTGGCCACGTTTCGTCCATATCTTTCGCATACGAGCTCCGTTCTCGATGTTCTTAATATCATGCGTTAGTATTTCCGAGTACTAAAACTTTCATTTAGACTCCATCGGCTAGTTCTCATTCTATCTCAAATTTACAAATCTATATCGAATTCGCCGCGCTTGAAGAGTAAGGACCAAGTTTCATCCATATCTTTCGCATACGAGCTCCGTTCACAGATTCGTAATTTCATGGACTTCAACTTTCATTTAGATAGTTTTGTCTAACGAGCGATCGATTTTTGTTTCGTAGTCTGTGACACATACTAATATACTGTGTCGTTACGAAAAATTATAACTTTCTCATATGAAGTCAGATTTAGGCGTTCTTTATATATACACATTTATTATTACTATTACTACGACTTTCGTTTTGATTACTTAGGCTAATAAGCAATCTATCTCCGGTTCACTTTTTATGGCACACATTATCGTATTGGATTGAACGCGAAACTTAGAAAAATCATAACTTTCTCATATGAAGTCATATTTGGGCATTCTTTATAGGGTTATTGACATAGAAGCACAATGATGTTTTCCGTTTGGTTTTAAAAGGTCCTTCAATTAATTTTCGTACTTCTTACCTCACTAAAGTGACAAATTACTTGTCGTTTATACCATTAAAGCCGGTTACCCGATAATTAAATGTGACGTGGCCTTTAGATTTTATATTTCTTCAATTAAATGACATCTCATCAATGACATGTCAACGCCTTCATATAACTATTCAAAAAATGGCTTTACTCCAGTCGGTTATCAAAATCGTGTTGAAGTGTTGAAGATTCTAGGGCTTTTCTCTCCCATTTCTATAAGTTTTCTCTCGTCTAGGGTTCTTTTGTAGATAAAGTTCATCTGGTTCTTTTCTAGTTAAAGTTCATGGCGAACCTAGACCCTATTTTCTTGAAAGTGCGTTTACACTATAACAGTGTTTTTACAAGACACCCACATAGATATACTGGAGGTGAAACGTTTATGTTTACTGACCATGATTTCTCTGGAATGGATTTACATGGGTGTTGTGAATTTCTAGATAGATTTGTTGGAGAACCTTTTGAGAAACTTTATTACTTAGCACGTGATCTCACTATGGCAAATGGTCTTAGGGTAATAACTAACGAAATGGATTATCAAGTGTTTATTGATGTTGCTTATCAGTCACCTGAAAGGCCAATAGACCTGTATTTAGATCATATTGGGGAAGGATTTGAGGACTGGTTCGATGAAGAAAGTGATGAAAGTGGTTCAGTGATCAAGGGGGATGACAAAGAAACTGCACAAGGAATCCCCGATCGTGAACCAGCCTATATGTTTGATGCTGGTTTGGATGATGAAATCAATGGGAAATATTGTACCCCACTAAACAAGACTAAGGACGATGAGTTTCTTAACAAGTTATGCCCAGAAGGTAGAGAAGAGAAAAAGATTGAAGAGATAGATAATAGTGAGGAATTGGACAATGATGTACTTGAGGAACATCCTATCTTTAATCCTCATGTACAATGGAAGAAGCAAGAACCAATTTTAGGCATGAGATTTGAGGATCCAAAACAACTTAAGAGCATGTTATGTAATTATGCTGTTAAAAATGGATATCAACTATGGTTCGAAAAGAATGACAGTAAGAGGCTTCTAGTATTGTGTTGTAAATGTGCTTGTACTTTTAGGTTATGGGCAAGTTGGATGAGTACAGAACACAGTTTTTAAATCAAATCTTTAAAAAGTGAGCATCAATGTGCTAGGAACTACAAATTGGGTTCTATTGTCAATTACAGATGGATTGGTAGCCACTACACCAAGGAGTTTTTGCATAGACAGAAACTGACAATTAGGCAACTACGATTGGAGGTCATCAAGAAAATTGGTATTAAAGTCAGTATTAACCAATGCAAAAGGGCCAAATAGTATGATATGAATATTATTGAAGGTACCCTTATTGAGCATTATGCTAAGCTCTGGTCTTATGGAGAGGAAATTAGAAGATCCAACCCTGGTTCAACAGTCAGCATGGATGTTCTTACAATGCCAGATGGAACTAATCACTTTAGTAAGTTTTATGTTTGTTTTGAAGGTGTAAAGAAGGGGTGGTTAGAAGGTTGAAGGAAGGTGATTGGAATTGATGGTTGCTTCTTGAAAGGGTATGTTACTGGTGAGGTGCTTTGTGCTGTGGGGAGAGATGCTAGGGACCAAATATACCCAATTGCCTAGGATGTGGTATGTGTTGAAAAAAAGGAAATCTGGAAATGGTTTCTGTCATTGTTAAGTGATGATCTCAATCTTGGTATGGGACAAGGTTTAACTCTTATGTCAGACCAACACAAAGTAAGCAAAACATTTTATTATTTCTCTTTCACAAAGTACATTACCCAATTCATTTCTAACTACTTGTATGTTGGTATAGGGTCATATGGAAGTTGTCAAGGAATTGTTACCATAAGCTGAGCATAGGCAATGTGCAAGGCACATTGTGGCCAACTTCAGTAAAAAGTTTCCAGGGGCACAATTTGTTAACAAGTTTTGGTCTGCATGTAATGCAACAACAGAACAATCTTTCAAGGAAATAATGAAGGATATTCAGCTTATGAGTCCAGAGGCAAGTAACTACTTGATAGAGAAGGACCCTAGAACATGGTCAAGAGCTTACTATCAAGTTGGTAGATGTTGTTCTAGTGTGGAGAAGGGAGGATGTGAAAGTTTCAATGCAGTTATAGTTGAATCCAGGAAGAAACCTATCATCACAATGCTTGAAGAATTGAGAATGTATATGATGAACAAGCTGTTCACTGCAAAAGTTAATGGATGGTCAAGTGATGTTTCACCTGAAATAAGGCCGAGGTTGAATGAGTTAAAGATTAATCAAAGGTTTTGGGAGGTATTTCCAAGTGGACTCAACCAGTTTGAGACTAGGTCAGGAAGTGAGGCATATGATGTTGATTTAGACAAGAGGACATGTTCATGCAGGATGTGGCAACTTAATGGTTATGGATGTGTTCATTCTGTGGCTGCCATTAGCTACCTCAATAAAGATGTTGAGAAATATGTGGATCCTTATTTTTGTAGAGCAATGTATATGAAGACCTACCAGTACAAAATTTATCCAATGAATGGAAGCAAGATGTGGCCTAAAACTAATTACATTCCACCTCTACCCCCCAAGAATAGAAGGATGCCTGGTAGGCCAAAAACTAAAAGAGTTAGAGATGTGAGTGAAAAGGGTGGATAGCATAGAGTTTCTAAAAAGGGTAAGAAGATGATGGGTTTCGAGCAATACATCATTCCTATGGTGTACATGCAAACCCTAATAGCTTTTGGATCTAGTTTGTCTAATGAACATGCAATTGAATATCCAAAGCTATAAACCCTAGATCTATCATATAATAACTGAAATAAGGGTTTAGTAATTACCTTTGATTGTTATATAGCAATAACAATCAATCATTGGCTTCAGAAAGCTTAGTGCCTCAAGTGTTGCACCTCTAATGGAGTCACAAACACCACTAAGCAACTTGGATGAAGAGGAAGGAGAGGGGAGGCACCAAAAACGGCTGGAAACCCTAAAGGATTACCTTGTCCACGTTTTTGGGGCTTAAGGGTCCTTTATATACATGTAGGCTATTAGGGTTTACAACTAGGAAACCCTAATCTGGCTGCTTAAGCCCTAAGCAGCCCATGGACTCCTTTAACATATCCCTTGGACGAATTCCTTATGGGCTTCCCATAGAATTCGTCCAACCTATATTATTTAGGTAATCCATAGCCCAATTGCAATTATCTTATAATTACAAATCCAGTCCCCTAAGTTTAATTAATCTCTTTTAGCCACAAAATTAATTCTCAATTAATTCTTGACTAATATCAATTAAACATTATGATTTCTCCTTTAACATATTATTCTTATAATATATTAATAAATCATAATTAAACCTTTCTCTCCTTAATTCATCCTACATATTGCTATGGTGAAGGCAACCCAAAAGGACCATGCTCATAATCGGGTCAAGTACATACCAAAATAGTTATGGACTTAGACACTAATCCAACAGTCTCCCACTTGGATAAGTCTAATAACTATTCTGTATAACTTCAGAACCTGATCAGCAATCGTAGCTTTCAAAAGCCGATGTCAACTCTGATCTTATCAGATGCGCGTGTCCTTTAGATAAGGGATTATATATTCCTCCATTCTCAAGATATCGTATAGACACAAGACATGAATTTGATCATTCTCTCTATACTGTTTCCCGACTTCCGACTTATGACGACTGACAACAGACTATAATTGAACACATCAACTTAGTCTCGGCTTGGCCAAGCGCTTAGGGTGTCATCACTAAATCATTGAGAGGCCCACAGATATCACTTTTATCCCACTTTGGGTAAAAGGAATGTATAAACTTCGACTCAAATGCTCGCTTGCATTTACTGATCGAATCACACACAACAATAAGTTTTATAACACCAAGTTACTGGTGCGTTTTCTTATTATCAATGCGCAACCGACCAACAAATAACAACTTACACGTCTCGGTTTCAAGAAATATACAATGTTATCGTCTCACAATTACTCATGATAAAAACCATGAAGTGATTCAAGTGAGCGTGGGTTTGATCCAATACTCTAATCTTATCAAAGCACTCATGAACTCTGCAGCAAACTTGTGCTATGTCTAAACACTTAGACAATCTACAGACATATTCATGACAGTCTTCCTTCATACCTACTTCCAACGTATGACCGACTGTGGAGGTTCGAATAACCCAGTTATTCTGGAAGTCAAAACATGCAAAGTGAAACGCAATAATAATATTAATCCTATATGGCCCCAAAAATTTTGAGCGTAAATAAAGACACTTTTATTTAAACACCATATTGATTACTCATTATTCATTGCTTACTGTTTCAGAAAATCAACTTATTACTCAAAATTATAACCACAATTGTCCCATGCTCCAAGCATGCACACTTTGGTTTCCTATGGTCCACACTTTGTAAAATAGATCAATTGAAAAACTTTTCCAATGAAACTCATTTCACAATCCCCAATCCTTATCATTAGTGTAAGAATACCAAATTCTTGCCACTTTTAGAATATGTCAGATTCTAACATTTTATGCAACGATCCTTTCGTAAAGTCATAGCACAAAAGTCATCAAGACTTGGCCAATGAAATCACAAAGTACTCTATTAGAAATTGTCACAAAACAATTCTATAGATGTGATGTCTCTCACTCAAAGTACATTCCTTCGAACATCCTTTTGCATAAAAGTTTCTAATCTACATAGATTCTTAATTTCCAACTCCCATTTATGGAAACATTTCCATATTTGGTATATGACAACTCATTCTTAATAGAATCTTATCTATTCATAATAATGTCAATATAGTCCATCCAGTACTATACTTCCAACTACTCACAAGCGACAAATCCTCAGTGAACCTCAGATCGTCCTTTGATAGTTGTTTAATTATTTTAGTCAAAACCGATTCTAGTCCTTTTTCCCTCTTACTGCCCTAGGCATTTGGAAAATTTTTGAATGGTCAAATATTATAGCATATGCAATCGATCCTATACCCGAAGCGTATTGGACACGATGCATAATGTCTCACATAAAGACGTGATACTTTATCAGCCTTCTGCCATAATATTTTATGTGCTCTGTAACCACAATTCGAACTATGAAGAGGGATGCCGTAATCATAATCGAATTTTGAGAATGCACTATGTATCATTGACTAAATTTATTAACATTTCTTGATCTAAGCTTTAGAATTTTGAAACGAAGTATAATATTCTCTCCCTTAATTATAGCAAAACAACTTTTCAATCCTTGCAACTTTGCAAAGTGAATCTTTGTTTTCTATAATTAATATTGCTAACTTGCAATACTTACCATAATAATCATGCTCCCACTAACATGATGATTATTTTCTTACCAGCATAACACTTATGCTCCCACTTCCAGAAAACAATGCTTATTGAATTCCTTAAGTTCATATTTCTAATACCTAATGCTTTGATAAGCCTTTATCTAAGCTTTTTAAGCTCATACACCTTTGCCTTAGATAGCTCACATGTGTGTCTAAACAATTCAGAATTTATGTTACTAAGTCCCAAATGTTCAGACCAATTGCCAAATCTCACAATTCGAACTATGAAAAGGGATGCCGTAATCATAATCGAATTTGAGAATACAATTTTCACAATTGCTATCTTCTTAAAATCTTTCTTAGTGAAAGCATTTCCTCACAATCATTTTCATGAATGAGGGAAACCTTATGACACTTAGATTTTATGATGTATGTGTTCCTATCCATGTGAATTTGTCCAAACGAAGTTTTGCGACAAATCCAAACTCATATGGACCGAACGTGCTCAATCTCGATTTCTTGCCTCATGGTAACATGAATGCCCACCATGTCTTCCAAGCAACTCACCCTTTCATATCAATGTACTTTCCATTGATCAAGGTGCTTTATCTCTATGTATTCAAATGAGAACTCATAGAACTTACATGCATATTAACTTAATTGGAATGGCACAGAAAAGAGTATGGCATCCACGATAAGCTTTAAACCTCAAGTCATGTGCTAGTGATGATCAACTAGGTTTACTCTTGATTTGTTCTTGAAACTTTTAAAGACCATTAAGACTCCCACTGAGTCCTTGACATATAAGATTCTCTTGTCAAGAAACATTTCTTGACAAACAAATATTCAAGAGTTAGTGTAGCTTCTTATCAAGCTTAACACTTCACACAATTGGTCTTAGTTGGTCTTTGACTTATCCAAGACATCACAACTTACCAATTTCAAATGTGCAAGAATATGAAAACTTTTTTCCAAATTCCACATTTGATGAGTGTCATAAACCTTCTTAAGACTTGTCACTCAAGTCACAATCTTAGAGTATGACTCTAAGACTTGATTTTGGAACGAAGAATGATTGACTTCTTGATTTAACCATTTCTACAATTCTCGATTCCTCTTCTTAGACATGCAATTGTACTAAGACTCACTTAGAGGATCAATTGAGACATGGTTCTTAATCATTAAGACCTATCATAAAACACAATAAAAGGTACTCTCCCTTCTTCTTAGAATAGAGAAACTTTTATCTTTCTGCCTACTTGATTCTTCTTATTCGTTTTGCTATTGATTGAAACTCTTTCAATCAACTCAGAATTATACTTAATCTTATAAGTATAACCATATTTACTAAACTTTAGTAAATCATGACGAATATCTTTATCACTCTTGTGGTGGACTCGATCAACGCACAACCTAGTGTACTCGATCTTCTAGTCCTTCACTTGACACTTTGCCAAAGAATTAGTATAATCTCCAAATATGAAGTTTCTCATTCATCACGCAACCAAGTTGTATGATTCCAAGTTTCTGTCCAATTGAAACTTGGGCGATGAGAATCTTCCTTTATTTGGCAAATTCTCGACATTTCCACAAATAACATAATTAAGAATCAAATCCATTATTGCTAATAGTAGAAATATTCAAACATCAATTTTTCATACATGCCACTGCAAGGATAAATAAATAAGACAAAATCAAAATTTATTTTATTGCGGAAAAATTTGTCCTTACAATGCAATTCAACTGAAAAACTATGCTATCACATATTTCTTATCAATCTATCCTAACTCTAGAGTAGTAGCTCAAAAATCCGATCTTCAAGCAATGCGATCGAAATCCATTTCTTCACGATCAGATTCAGCTTACTTCTTCCCTTAAGCTTCCTCTCTTTTCTTCGATCCTACAAAACATCAAAATGTAATCTTATCACATCATGTATTGAAAATCAAAGAATAGGAACTTATAGAGTTAGTTATTGGATTTCACCTGAAGTAGAGCCATACGTCTTGACTCTCCCATCTCTTAGATCTCTCAGGTAGTTTGGGCAGCTTCGACTCCAATGCCCCTTCTCTTGGCAATAAAAGCAAATGGACTCCTTTGGCACAGCACATGGGACAATCTCATACTTAGTCCTTTCTGGACTTCCAATGTTGCCAGTGTCCATTGAAGTTTGGGAGTTTGATTCACCAGACAAATTTGCTTGACCAGCACGCCAAATCATCGCTGATTCAGCAGCTACAAGCAAATAGGTGAGATCAATGAGGGTCACGTCTTGGTCCATCATATAGTACTCTCTAACGAACTCACTATATGATTCAGGAAGCGACTGAAGAACCTAGTCAACAGCCAACTCACCTGAAATCTCGACACCCAACATCCTTAACCTGTCAATGTGTGACTTTATCTCCAAGACGTGTGCACACACATGTTTCCCATCTTCGTGTTTACTTGCCAATAGGGCTTGAGTGAGCTTGAACTTTTCAAGCCTTTGAACTTGTGGGTTAGGGAGAATAATTGGAGGAGGTGGAGGAAGTGAAGCATGATCTCTTGATCCTCGATCATATTGTGGAACATCATCTTCATTTGGAAAGCTTGTTCCATGGGATTTGGGAAGACCATGATTGTCAGAACTAGACATCTACAAAACGGGAGAAAATTCAAGTTAAGTTGATTAGAATCCTTGATGTAACACCCAAATGAAACATCAAGGCTAGGATCCAACACAATACTCTACAACCTAGAAGAGGGATGCCGTAATCTAGTTGCAGAATATTTGAAGGTAGGTAAATGACGATTTACCAATTTCCACCATGAAAAACGAAAAAGAAATTTAAGTTTTAAATGAATTGAAACTCCTAGATCTTTTGAGATTCATTGAACTTTTCAATGGCATGTTTAAATCTCGATTATGCACTTCAAGTTTGCGACTGGGATGCCGAGGATCACAAACAAGGTGTGAATAACCATACGAATCACGTGGTGCACCCAATTGCTACTATCACCTAATCAATGTGCCGGTTAGCCACACACGCTCCATTGATCTATGATAAACATCGAGCTACCCTTCGCCACCAATGCCAAACCCAAATTAGTGTGCCGGTTAACCACACACGCTTCACTAACGTTTCGACAAGGGTACAAAGTGTAATTCCATGGATTAGCATACAATTCCACATTTTTCCTAAAGTAAATATGATTTGGGAATTTGTAAAAGCATGTAGTTACTTTGTACTTCATTATACTTATAATGGAAGGTTTCGTCCTATCCTACCCGTTCGGCTAACGACCCTCCACTAGTCAAGAGTGCGGTGGGTAAGAGTGGATACCCATTCAATCGCCATTTTATAGGCAATTTCCTTAAACACCCCTTATAGACCAGCTTCGTGAATGAGGCCTACTAACGGTAAGACTGACTCTTTACTCATATATATAATATTAGACTTTTAATGTTACATATATATAGTATAGGGTGTATTTTACACTTTTAAAATACTAGGTGGTTCAATTTAATAAATTATACTTTTAATTTAATCAAATGTAAACCAAAACTTTATGGAATTATTAAATCTCTTTTAATTATACACTTTAATTAATTAATAAAACCATAAGGGTGTAATTTGAACTTTTTCAAAAATACGAGGGTTTTAGAATTTAACATTTCAAAATTAAACTTTTAATTAACTTTTAAATTCCAAAACTTAAGGGCAAGTTTTGAAACATTTCAAAACATTAGAGTTTAGAATTTAAATATTTCAAAATCAAACTTTTAATCAAAAATTTAAATTCCAAAACTTGAGGGCAAGTTTTGAAACTTTTCAAAACATTAGGGTTTAACTATTTAAATTTCAAAAACAAAACATTTAAGTTCAAATTTAAACTATAAAACCTAAAGGGGAAAATTGAAACTTTTTCACAAGATAATTCAAATCTAAATTACAAATAATCAATCTTTATCTAATAAAACAAAAGATTATCTAAATTTTGACAATTATCTTCTATTTTGGTAAGGACAATCACCCAATATCAATAAAAATCGGATCTTATGAATTAAAAATGTTTATGGTAAGTATCCCAATCCAAAACAACAACAAAATCGCCAAAAAAACGCTGCCAGACTCGCTGACTCGTCGAGTCAGCACTGGACTCGTCGAGTACCCAGTGGACTCGGCGAGTTCAGTCATGGACTCGGCGAGTCCAGCCCCAAAATTCAAAAAAAATCGTTTTTCAGCCAATTTTTCAATCAAGTAAGCATCAAATTCAGTAACAAACAGCCCTAGGCTCTGATACCACTGATTTGTTTCGAGCAATACATCATTCCTATGGTGTACATGCAAACCCTAATAGCTTTTGGATCTAGTTTGTCTAATGAACATGCAATTGAATATCCAAAGCTATAAACCCTAGATCTATCATATAATAACTGAAATAAGGGTTTAGTAATTACCTTTGATTGTTATATAGCAATAACAATCAATCCTTGGCTTCAGAAACCTTAGTGCCTCAAGTTTTGCACCTCTAATGGAGTCACAAACACCACTAAGCAACTTGGATGAAGAGGAAGGAGAGGGGAGACACCAAAAACGGCTGGAAACCCTAAAGGATTACCTTGTCCACGTTTTTGGGGCTTAAGGGTCCTTTATATACATGTAGGCTATTAGGGTTTACAACTAGGAAACCCTAATCTGGCTGCTTAAGCCCTAAGCAGCCCATGGACTCCTTTAACATATCCCTTGGACGAATTCCTTATGGGCTTCCCATAGAATTCGTCCAACCTATATTATTTAGGTAATCCATAGCCCAATTGCAATTATCTTATAATTACAAATCCAGTCCCCTAAGTTTAATTAATCTCTTTTAGCCACAAAATTAATTCTCAATTAATTCTTGACTAATATCAATTAAACATTATGATTTCTCCTTTAATATATTATTCTTATAATATATTAATAAATCATAATTAAACCTTTCTCTCCTTAATTCATCCTACATATTGCTATGGTGAAGGCAACCCAAAAGGACCATGCTCATAATCGGGTTAAGTACATACCAAAATAGTTATGGACTTAGACACTAATCCAACAGAAGATATCATGTAGTTTGTGCAAAGTGGAAGGACATAATAAGAAGACATGTCCAAATGTTGATAGGTCAAGACGAAACAAGTTACCAACTAGGGTTAACAGGACTAAGGCACCAAATGTAAATACAATTTATTATTTATTAATTTGTTATTAATTATGTTTCATTTAAAAGGGTGAAAATGTGAAGAAAAGGACTGCAGAAGTGGCAAGTGGTAGTAGGACAGGAATGGATGGTGGGGATACACATGGTAGTAGGGTTAAGAGGACTAAGACAACAAAGGTATATACAAACTCTTATTTATTATTTTTTTTATTTTTTATTAATTATGTTTCATTTAATAGGGTGAAAATGTAAAGAAAAGGACTGCAGAAGAGGCAAGTGGAAGTAGGACAAGAATGGAATGTGGGGATACACAAGGTACTAGGGAAAGTGGGACTACACAAGTGACAAGGGTGAGGGGTAATGTTGTAATTCCCCAGCTTAAGAGGAGGAAAAAAGAGTGAAAGGATCATCAAGAAAAAATTGGCAACCAAAGTTATAGGAAAAGATGGAGAGGGTAGCACTTCAGAAAAACCTGTCAACTTAATGTAGTTTTTGCATGTGATGTTTCTTTTATTATGTATTAAAAACATGTTAGGATGTTTGCTTTTAAATATTCTATGTCGGAATTGTTATGTAATGTATGACACTCACTTTGGTTATTAATATATTATCTTGTGGGATCCACTGTCCTTTGTGTCTTTTTTATGCATTAGATGGTCCATTGTTTCTTGTCCCTCCTGGAATTGTTATGTGGACCATGCTATTTATTGGAATTTGTTTGTGGACCATATAACAACTCATGCATGATATTATATAAAAATTCATGCACTATAACAATTCATGCAGTATACTATCAAGGAAACCATAAAGAGCAGTTAAAATAGAATAGATTCCATGCATCCCAAAAGACCATATTCCAAATATCTAATCACCCAAAAGACCATCCCAAAAGAACATCCCCATATCCACCCTGTTCCAAAAAGCACCTATACACCATGACCCAACATCTTACACCAACAACTACAGCTTAAAGTACATGACCACAAACAATATGCAGACCAGAGCAATCAAAACAACCTTTTTTAACATCTTCTTCAACCTTTAAATCTCAATGAGTAGTTCTTGGATCCTAGCTTCAGCAAGTTCCTTCTCAGCTTTCCTAAGCAGCTTGTGCTTCTCCACCTTCTTCTGCAACTCAAAAACTTGACCATTGCTAACCAAAAGGTCGTCAATCCTAAGTTTCATGTTCCATAACGTATCCTTGTAGTGTTTTGGTAATGCTGGGTCATGTAACATCCCAAAAATACAACCCAAAAATTTTTGTTTGAAAACTTTACTAAACCATAATATCAAATATTAAAAGATAAAACCATGAATCATGTATCTCAAAATGTCATAATAAATTTATCAAATCGAAACTAGTGTCAAGATCATATCAAAATATCAGAGTCTAACTCCCAGGCTAAAACTGTGGTGTGTGCCATGCCATCATCCCGAGCCCTTCCCTTTGCTAGCTGAAGTACGTGAAACCAAAACTGAAATTGTAAGCACGAAGCTTAGTGAGCTCCCCCAAACTACCACATACCATACAATAACATATAAAGCACATACTGGGCCTCGCCCACTGCATCGGGCCGAAGTCCGAAACTGACTAGGGCCTTGCCCACTGCATCGGATCGAAGTCCGGTACTGCATCGGACCGAAGTCCGGAAGTAACTAGGGCCTTGCCTACTGCATCGGACCGAAGTCCGGAACTAACTAGGGCCTTGCCCAATGCATCGGACCGAAGTCCAGAACTGCATCGGACCGAAGCCCGGAACTGCTTGAACATAACATAACATAATCATAGCATATAATATGAACACATATACTGCATACTGCATCAGACCATAGTCTGGAACACATAACACATACCATGCCTGTATCACAAAGACACCAAGCATACTGAACTACTGCATCAGACTGTAGTCCGGAACTACTGCTAACTAAACGGGCCGGCATTGTGGCCGTAGACCCGTTCCTACTGGAAGGAAAACTCACCTCGTAAGGCCGACTGCTGAAATGCTGCTCGGGAACTGTCTGACTGCTGTTCCGGTAACTCCCCGACTACAATTCCCAAAAGACACTTAATCAGACACTGATAACTAATCTTAGGGCAAAATGACTATTTTACCCCCTGGCCAAAGTCAACAATCCGTTGACCTGACTCGCCGAGTTGGGCCGCCAACTCGTCGAGTCCCTATCTTTCCTTCTACTCCCTTTCCCGACTCTACTCGTCGAGTTTAGCAAAGACTCGACGAGTTCTCCTTCTATAATAACATCAAGTCAACCTTTATCTGACTCGTCGAGTTGTATGAACAACTCGTCGAGTCTGTTCTTGTGGGAAGAAGATTGTCTTGGACTCGCCGAGTCAGGACGTAGACTCGTCGAGTCCTTCTACACTCAGATCCATGTCTTAACTCACTGAGTCTTTACTCCACTCACTAACAGACTCGCTACTACTAAACAGGGAATCTAAGACTCGTGACCTGAATCGCCGAGTCCGAAGAACGACTCGCCGAGTCCTTTGCATGCAGTTTCTATTCAGCCGATTCTAATCAGTTTCAGTGCATCCAATTCATAGATCTGGGTTTCTGGGACAATCTGAACACGTAAAGTTGCTAACTTTACATGTATCTATGATGCAATGAAGCAATAACACTCAAACTTGGCTATAATGGGGGTTACTTGTCTAGAACAAGGCCATGGCTGCCAAAAGGTGGCCTTCTTGAGCTCCTGGAACTCAAGAGAGGCTAGATCTGAGATATGGCTTGATTACAAAGCTTCATCACTAGGGATTTGGGGTTTTTGAGCTCAAAACCATCAATTTGGGGACAAAATAGATCTAGCAATACAATAACCAAGATGAAAGCTTTATTACCAGAAAGGATGGCCAAAGAGGAGTATAATCTGGATCTACTTCTTCTTCCTTGAGTTCTTCTACCTTCTCCTTCTTCTTCTTGCTCAACAATGCACCAAGATTCCTTCACAAGGGCAAAAATCACTCACACACACTTTAAGGAAGCTAGGGTTTCAGGAATAAGTCTCTGAGAGGTGAAGGAGGCTGGGTTGGGGCTATAATGGTGTTTAAATAGGGTACACTCCCTAAAATTAGGGCTTCATCCAGACTGGCGGACTCGCCGAGTCCGGAATATGGACTCGTCGAGTCGCCACGCCAACTCCACGTGCTGACCCGCTGCTACTCGACGAGTTAGGGCCACTGACTCGTCGAGTAGCTTCTAAAATAAGAAGAAAAAAATGTTTTAAATGCATACCAGGAACGGGGGTTTACAGGTCAAGCCACTGGAAAAAGTTGCAACTGTCGTTGGATATCTACAATGTTCAAAATTTAGGGTTTCCTCATCGTAAATGGGGTTTTTTATCGATCAAAATAGGGGGTTTGCAGTACAAAAATCAAAACTTTAGGTTTAAAACTTATCGATTGTAACGAAGGCTTACCATTGATTTTGCGCAATTGTAGAAGCGATGACCTGGGTTGTTAGACTTCCAAGCTTCTCTGAGCTTTGACGCAGGCTGATCGCGACACAAGTAGGGAGGATTCACTTCAATCAGGTAAATGGCGACGGGGTTATACGATTCGGAGGAGGAAGACATGGTCGAAAGAGTTAGTGTTTTTGGAGGGTAAGGAAATAGTGAATGTTGTTCTATTGAATCCTTATAGTAGGCAGACTGGACACCAGCCGGCTATCACAGAACACGTCACATTTGACTTCCGTTGACCAACCGGGTAACCGGGAAAAAAATGGAGAAAACCTTAATTTGGCAGGTAATTTGTCACTTTAATGGGGTCAGAGGTACGGACATTAATTGAAAGACCTTTTAAAACCAAACGGAAAACATCATTGTACTTCTATGTCAATAACCCTTTTTTATACCCACAAAATCGTCATCATGACTATTACAACTTTCGTTAAGATTACTTATCTGAAATAATCTTTTATTTTTAAACGCTTATTTAATGTAATTCGTTGAATTTATAATAATGTTTTATATAACTATTATAAGCCCATAATATTTGTCCATAAAATATGTGTGTCATATATAAATATCATTTATATAACCCGTATCACATATGATTATCCTTTTCGAGGATTTAATTGTTCAATAAAATAAATATTCATAATTTATAATCCCTAAAATGTCTGGCCTGAATTTGTGGGTGTTACAGTCCTCTTGTAGTCTTTCCTGCTATAGCCCCCATAGTCTTTCATGTAAGTGCTATGGTTCCCCAGAGTCTTTCATATAAGTGCTATGGTCCCCAATAGTCTTCCATATATGTGCTATTCCCCCTATAGTCTTTCATATAAGTGTTATGGTCCCCCTATAGTCTTTCATATAAGTGTTATGTTCCCCCATAGTCTTTCATACAAGAAGGTCACAAAGACAATCTATTACACATTGACACCTAGTGTCCTACATACTATAGTGAGAAGACTCACTTGAGTCACAAATTCGAACTGCCAGCACTCACATACTCGAATGGATCAACAACACTAACCACCTAATTTACAAATAAGTATCAAACGTCATCTCCTAACGTAATTCCTCAAAGTCTGATCAAAAGTCAATTTGGACAAAAGTCAACGGTCAACGTGCGACAACCAGATCTTGGCCGCATCGTGTCCACTAGGAGACAAAACTATATATCGTGATTTGTAACGCCTGTGTTTCTGGGCTAGTCATTAATGTCGATGTAATAATCTAGGTTAACTTTTGTAACCCGTCTTGAAATAATAAAGATGTATTATTTGAGTATTAGGTGTTTTGTGCTTAATTGTGTGACTTAAATGAATTAAGGATAAAAATAAGCGTCAAAATGAAATGTTAGATAAGCCCTATATCTATACATGAAGTTGTAGTGGTCGTGGCAAGGTTTCCGAATATATAAAGAATGCCGAAATCCGAGTTATAACGAAGAAGTTATGACCTGTAGAAGTTTCGCGACAGAACCGGTACGACACTATGTGACGTATATAGTGAATTTACGATAGAGCGATATTTAGCCTTAGTGATCTAAGCGAAAGTTGTAGAATACGTTAAACCGAGAGCGTACATAAAAAGAACGTCTAAATCTGACTTCGTATGAGGAAGTTATGATTTTTCGAAGTTTCGACTTAGCGGTATGCAACCCAAAGTTCGAATATGAGATCGAGTGGTTTCTAGCCGAAACAATCTAAATGAGAATCGAAGATCTCATCGATAGTAATGCAACGGTAAAAAGACAGACCAAAACGGACGTCAGATGAAGAAGTTATGAATTTCTAACGGAGTTTTCCTGTCCCGGCCTACTAAAAATAATATAATAAAAGTTAAATTCAAAATTAGCCGACGGAGTCTAAACGAGAGTTGTAGAGCATAATCTCACTTACGTGTGGATATAAGAACGTCGAAAACGGAGCTCGTATGCGAAAGATTTGAATTTCTGAAGTTCGGGGCACGAACTTCCACCCGTGTCAGAGCTCACGACGTGAGCATAGTGTTCACGACGTGAGCAGGTGATGGACACCTTACACGGAAAGTGGACATGATGAACGCAGTGACATATTCGAGCTCACGACGTGAGCATAAGTGGCTCATGACGCGAGCATAGTTTCTCAGCCCTATAAATAGAAGTTCAAGGGGCAGCCGGGTTTGGTTGTTCCTTTTTCACTCTCTCACTCCCGATACTCTCTCTAGCCGTCTTGAAGTACCCTCGAAGCCCCGGTATCAATCCCGAGACCCGAAGCGAGTCCCAAAGCACCGAATATCCCGAGAAGAAAATAGTTTCGAGCCGAAGCTCTGCCCGCGAGAAGCCCGATGTGTGAAGAGATCACAATTTCACCGAAGAATACTGCTTTAACAACCGTAGTGCTGTCCGAGCATCATCTTATCAAGTGAGTGCATAGTCTCTTTCATATACACGATTTTTAATACAAGTATTGATGAATGTATTAGATATATGATATGAGTAAGTGTGTAGTTGCCTTCTATAATACACATATATGAATTATACTCTATGAAATACGTGCTATGTGATTATATACTATTTGTTATGTGGTATGAGTATTGAATGAATATGTTATACAGGTTTTAAGCTGTATATAAACAAGTATATATTATCTACAAATATGTTGGGTAGACCATGGGTAGATAGTGATGTGTGATGAAATAAAAATGATGAGAGGCCTCGATGTGATTGTGATCTAGTCGTCCAGCAGAATATGGATGACGACCACGGACTTTTCTAGACAGCTCAGTGGAACGCTGGCAGGCTCATAACCTATAGGTGTAGTGACCTTGGGTGTTTATTTGTTGTATTCTATCCCCCTCATGGTTGCCTTAGGACATTCATTGCTGAGGAAACCCCTTTGTAGTAGTGTCCGTCCCGATGAAAAATCCTAGACTAGGTCCCTTGTGATAGTTGTTGTTTTAGGGACGTAAAGTGAGGATAACGGGAATGGGTAATCGGGTTATTGTTGGTTGGTGAAATTAAATATAATTATTTATTGTGGGTTGAAAACCCTATATGCTCACCAGGCTCCCAAGCCTGACCCACTCAGTTTCTTTGTATTACAGGTAGTGGCGCGAGAGCATAAGTTGGAGAACTTGTGAAGATGTTTTTGTTTATAGACCAGTAGTTGTATATAACTGTGTAAGGTCTATGTTTTATTGTTTATGCTTTTGTGTCTGTATCGGAACATGACATCCCGAGTTTTGATATATAATGAAAATACATTTCTTTAAGAAATGCTTTGATAAACCTTATTTTATCATGTATTGTTTTGGGGATAAATTCTGCAACTCTTTTAAATCAATGGATTTACTCTGAAATTATTTTAAAAGCATAAATGAAACCGGTCTTTTCTGGCCGTGAATTTGGGGATGTCACATGATTGGGTATTGCGACTCGTGTCGCGGTTTCCTATTTTCTACGTCAAGCTTCTTGGCTATTCAACCACCCTCTCATTAAGCTCTTAAACACTTAAGTCAGGGGTTCAAATTTTAATATCTGAAACCTATAATGGTCTTAATGGATAAAGTTTCCAACTTTATCCTTAACCAAGGCTTAATCACTCACAAAAGTAAACCCTAAGTCGAACAATCCATTTAAAATGCCAAAGCCAAGTGCATGGTTCAAGGAAAGCACATGCATGACCTTTTTCTCCACCACAAAAGTTCAAAAGCATAGAAATGTTCTTCCTAAGCTCTGGAGTTCCTCAAACTCCAAGAAAATTAAGATTAGGGGACTAAAATGATCACAAAACCACCAATAACCTAGATCTAGCATGCAAAAGCCTTAAAAATTGGATCTTAGAGACTTACAGAGCTAGAAAAGGTCACATGAAGGTAGATTACTTCAACAACTTGCTTCTAAGGACACCAAATAACAATCTTCTTCTTCAAAAATAACACAAAGGGAAAATAAGAACTCAAAATCACCAAAATAGGCTATGGGTTTGGATAGGAGAATGTTCTCTGGAGGCTGACAAATAACGAAACCCTAAGGGTTTGTGCCCTTAAATAGGCTGGAAAACCGAGGATTTTAAGGTTTGGCCTATCAGGCCGCCGCGTTGCGGTCTTCATTAAGGGTCGCTCTACGACATAGGTCGTGCCATGCCCCTTAGTCCATCGCGCCGCCACCAAGAGAAAACCCCAAACATTTTATTAATCCAAATACATACCAAGAAAACGAAAACGAGTGTGACATTGTGTGTGTTTTTCTACAGAGTTTGATCCGAAACAAGATTATTAATGTTCAATATTTGTTTATTGAGGCTCATGTGTTTTGTATTGAGTCTTCTAGGATCTGAGAAGTTGTAGGTAGGGGTGAGTACGGTGCGGTTATTGGCCAAAACCGAACCGCAAACCGTAAATATGATTATTTTAACCATAGAACTGAATGGTGTGGTTATTTTAGTGGTGTGATTTTTCTCTTTATTATGCATTTCAGTTTCATGCGATTGTCGTTTGGCTTTTAACTGCGTAGATTTGGTGCAATTTTTATGTGTTTTTTGTGCGGTTTTAATCTACATATAAACATTTCAGATTTCACATAACTTGTTTGGGTATTTTCTGTCTTTTTTGCGGTTTTAAGAGTTTAAAGACTATTGGTTGTTACTTGTAATAATAAAAAACAATAAGACAATAACTTAAAACACTACCAAATGATTTAATATTATTCGTGAGATTGGGAGAGATTGAGAGTTGGGACCATTAGAGTGAGGAGTTGTGCTGAAGGTTAGGGCACAACTCTCAGTTATGGTGCTAGGATCAATTGATTTAGTATCCCTCAAAATTTCGTTCTCAGATCCTCCTTTTAAGAAGTAATATATTAATAATTAATTAATAATTAATTAAATACTGTATAAAGTTATTTCCTTTTGATTTTTGTGTGATATTCATAATTTTAGTTATCATCGTACAATGAGTGAGATGACAAACGGACAACAAGCTGTGCCGCTAAGTCTTTTTATATGGTAAAGCCAATTCTTTTGAAGACTACTTTCATAGAGCTAAGGGATATAACATTGCTATGCATGATCTATTGTACTCTATTAAGAAGCTCAACCGCATCCGACATGAGGAAACCAAACATATCAAATGCAAAATGTATG